ACAATAAAGTGTCTACTTTAATGTTTCAAATAACTTTTGTGAAAAAATGTGGGTGAAATAATGTTCCATCATCATTCAGCGTAGCAGACATATTCAGGTAAAAATTAAACAACTTACAGTACTTATTCTGACCTGCACTTAATTTTATTCAATATATAAAAGAATAGGCCTAAGTTATCATACTACATTTTATTCTATTTAAATGATTCTTCTTGCTGCTAATATATAAAACCTAGTTGTTTGAAGGATCGTGGCAAAGATTTCTAAAGATATACAATTACACTTACTGTAATTAGTATTTTGTGGGCTGCACTGTGATCCTTAATTGGAGTCTTTAAATGTAATTTAATGATTATTGATCTAAATATGCATGACAATATATTTTGGTATATGAGCTATTGTCACACAGACATTCTTTTTTTCCTGTAAATCATGATAAAAGTTTATAACAGTCATTATTTTTGCTCAGAATTTTTTTTTAAAAATTAAACATGACACTCTCACTCACACACACACACACAAATAGGCCTATAGAAGAATGAAATTCTTGCCTGCAGCGTTTGCATGATGCTGGGGAATTCACACAACGGGTGTGCTTGACTCCAGATCTCCCTCAGCAGAAGCTTAGAAAGCACAACAATAAATAAAATCAGTGGTTCAAATAGACAATAGAAGAGCCTGGTAACATGGGAACACATTCACCTGTAGTACTATCAGTGTGTGTGCTCTGGTAAGAGACCATGCAGGACAGAAACAGAGGCTGTTTTCTTGGAGAGTAACGCATGGATCAGTTCACAATTGCTCCTCTTCCGCTAACATCTTGTTTTTATGCACACCACATCATAAAATTAAAAATACATCCACATTCTCCAATGCTTTACTCGTTACTCAATCACAAAATCAGAGCTAACTAATATATATTCTAATGAGGCTGTATGATGTGAACTCTTGAGTGTGTGTGGATCAGGCCGAATCTGAGCTGTCACAGTTAATCAGAGCTGTATCCTCTCTTCTCTCCACACCTGACTGAGTGTGTCTCGCCGTTCTCTAGCAGCCCTTCCCTTGATGATTTCACCTGCCCACTCAACCCCGCCATCCTGTCAAGGTCAGTCCCCATACGTCCAGTGTCAAACACAACTTTAACAGAGTGCACACTGTGCTCTACGAACCCACACACCTCTCCTCAGACAGCAGACCACTGACTGAACTACAGTTTCAAAAGAAACAAGCTGATTTGTGACAAGGCAAGATTCAGGATAAAGTTTTTTTGGTTCACAGAAATCAAACAAACCAAATATGAGAACAGCCTAAATGTGTCTTAACTCAAATCAGAATCAGATGATTGAAAATCAGAACCAAAATCAATACACTGACAATTAGAAGGATCAAATAAGAATTAGTACTTTAAAAATCAGACGAGTCAGATTCAGAACAATGAGAATCAGTAGATTCAAAATCAGAAACAACATCCACAGACTGATGATTAGAATGATCAAATGAGAATCAGTACTTTCAAAGCAAGAAGATTTAGATTCAGAACAGTTATAATCAGTAGATTCAAAATCATTATGAAAAACAGCAGATTGACAGTCAGAAGAATCAAATCAGAAGATTCAGATTAGGGATGTTCATTTCGGTTATTTCTCCTAACCGACGCTCATTAAACGATTATTAACTGTTAACCGACAAGATTATTTTAAATTAGAATTGAAATAAATTAGAAAGGATAAGTGTCTGTGACCCGTTAAAAATACTAACATTTGTTTTCCGGGGATTAATTTTGCATGCGTAGAAAGCAGCAAACAACAGAACATGAGGATTCACATGGTCTTCATATCACATCACGCAACTGCAGCGCTTCTGCGAGCGCAGAATATACTGTATATGAAGTGGATCAAAACCTTTCATCAAAGTTGTCCTAAAACCAAAATGCGTTCTTGTCTTAGGACAACTTTGCTGAATTTTTTTGATCCACTTCAAAATGTTGACTACTGTATATGTATATATATATTTATATTTATATATTTACAATTCAGATTATCTTTATGACTGAAAGGAGTAGTTGCTTCCACTGTTAGAAGGAAAAAATACATTGACAATGTAGCCTGTTCGTTATCATAATAAAATACAGTCAGTCAAACATATGGGGAAAAAACACACTGCTCAGTTTAAATATGTAGTAAAATCTGTGCAATTAAGCGTTATCACCGTAATGTTATGCAAAACATTTTATTTTACGTGGATATTGGATCGCGAGTGAAGTAGGCTACATAATAAATAATATTTTGGCAGTCAAATACATCGCGAATACGGAAACATTTGATTTTGTCGAATGAGAGACCCAACGTTGGTTTCAGTTTCGTTTTAGCATAAATTAATTTGTTTTGGCTTGTCGTTTATATAGCTATAGCTTCTTATATTTTTAGATCTTGTTCTTTTCTAAATACTGTTAAATTGTAAGGATTTGTTGTGGAGTGAGGGGAATTAAAATAACTAGCTATGTTAACAGTGTTTATTATAATGTTTGTAAACATTCACGTCGGCATTAGGCCTATTTCTGAATAAAATAATCAAATGCGACATATCGGTTTTTTTTTTCTTTAAAAAAACGCAATTTGTTATTCTCGTAGCGTATTTTAACCATGCAGCAATCCTTTTAAAATATTTTGATAAATTAGGCCTACTGAATAAAAATAAATAAATGACGTTTTAAACCGTTTAACTGATTGTAGTAATCGGTCAAAATTCTTACGGTCGGTTAACAGTTAACCGGTTAAAATAAGCATCCCTAATTCAGATTCGGAACAATGTTAATCAGTAGATTCAAATCAGTATCAAAATCAGCAGACTGATAATGAGAACAATCAAATCAGAATCAGTACTTTCAAAATAAGAAGATTCAAAGATTCGGAATCAGTAGATTCAAATTCAGAAATCAAAATCAGCAGACTAAAGACTAGACTGATCAAAAATGAGAAGATTTAGGTTCAGAATGATAATTAGTAGATTCAAAATCAGAATCAAAACCAGTACACTGATGATTAGAAGGAACAAATAAGATTTAGTTAGTAGGGTTGTGAGGGTGAGGAAATTTTTCCATTGTTTAATCGACGTGTGACAACACCGATAATACCGGTATCACCGTGGGGGCGGGGCGTTTCCTCTTTTCCTCGCTTTCCTTCGCTTTTAAATAGCTTGCAAAAGCACCGTGCACATTTTACTTTCACTACGAATTAGCGGCAATTCGGCATCAATTGCTTGAATGCAACAACAAAATACAACGTCAAACTCACTTTAGCGTATATATAAAACATAGAACTTTCATTAACAAAACAAATAAAAATACACCATGCTACAGGGCAGGCTATGCCTAATATAAAATAACAGATAACTTCCATAAAGTTTAAATAGGTAGCCTATACAAAACTAGAAATAAGTAGACATGTATAATATATAACCAAATAAATAAGAAACGTAGAAAGTGTATTAGCAAAACGAATAAGAAAGCTTGGAGGCACGGCATACACCTTGATGTCAAATAAAATAAATACATTGTTGCGGCTTAACAACGGTATCACCGTCAGCACAGTCTATCGCAGCAAGCCTATTAGTTAGTACTTTAAAAATCTGAAGATTCAGATACTGAACAATGATAATCAGTAGATTCAAATCACTATCAAAATCAGCAGACTGACAATCAGAGCAAACAAATCAGAATCAGTACTTTCAAAATCAGAAGATTCAGAACAATCATAATCTCTAGATTCAAAATCACAATCAAAATCAGCAGACTGACGAGCAGAAGAATCAAATCAAAAACAGAAATTTCAAAGACTGAAGATTCAGATTCTGAAAAATCTGAATTAGTATTCAAATCAGAAAGATTCAGAACAATGTGAATTAGTAGATTTAAAACCAGAATCAAATCAGAGTAAGTACTAGGGCTGTAACGGTTCACAAAATTCACAGTCTGGTTCGATACAACACAGTGGTGTCACGGTTCGGTTCGGTACGGGGGTAATTGGTTACGTCGCAATGTTGGAAATATTTATTCACTTAATATTTCTAATATTACATAGTGAAAAAAATTAGAAGAAACATATTTAGTGTTAAACAGGTTGTTTTTGAAAGTCGGTGCTTGAAATAAAAGCTTTTTATTTATTTTATTTTATTATTGATGACCGCAGTGTTAACATTTTAATTGTAGGCCTATAATTCATTGTACAATATACCTGTTTTAAAATACCTTTTTTAAAATATTTTAATTGAGGAGTAAAAAGCCTAATCTTTTGTTATCCTCGCAGCACGTCAGTTACTTGGTCATTATTGCGGGGCAAATTAATTGTAATTTTAATTTAATAATGAAAGTAAATTCATAATAATAATAATAATAATAGGCCTAATAAAAATAAGAATGGAATGGAATGGAATGCAAATGCCAAATATCTTAATATTGCCAACAACTGATGTTTTTGACAATATATCTGGCTATCGTCAATACAAGCTCATCGTCTTTCGACGCACCCCAGCAAGAGGAGGTTATCGCGGGGCCTTTTTCGCAGTGCGTGCCCGTCCGCCAACGTTACGCCACTGGGCAGACAGTGTGTTGCCTGTTACGTCGTTTGGGCTGCCTTGTTGAGTGCAGTGGCACTGAGAACATTATATTTTACACACTAAGCAGTTTCATTTTCCAAATGTAACAGGACTAGTCCAACGAATCGAATCGTTCAGTTTGTAATGCGTACCGAACCGAAAAAGCATTGTACCAAACGGTTCAATACGAATACGTGTATCGTTACACCCCTAGTAAGTACTGTAAAAAAACAGAATCAGAATAATCAACCTCAATAAAATCAAAAAATCTAATCAAATTAAACCACAATGCTTTATCCTTATAATTTTCTCATTCAGTGAGGATTGTGGGTATTTGCTGATGATCATATTGCGTCTGGTTAGGACAAAATGTGTTTGAATAGAGTTTGAATGGGACGGTGACTCACTGGTCCTGAGGGCCGATGGGGTGACCTCGATCTCACTGCTGGTCTGGTAGGGCTGGAAGGCTGACAGGTTGCTGGAGTTGAGCTCACCCGTGCTGAAGAGCTCTGGACTCTGGGTGCCTGTGGAGCTCGCGCTGGTGCCATCTCCGCCATGATGAGGGTCCTGCTCCTCGTACACTGCCACCAGCTAAAGACAGACAAACAATTATGTTAATCACACTGCTTGAACTATTTGATATAACAATATGTATATACCCAACGTGGGACCACCTTCCTATAAAATAATGCAACTAGAAATGTTCATGTATACAGAAGATATTTACACTTTGACAAAAAAAAAAAAAGTCCATTTGGATTTCTGACCAGTTTCTGTCCTTTTTGCCACTATTTTTATCTGACATTTTATCTGACCAAAGCCTGCAAACCAAAAATTAGTTGTCAAGAAATGCACAACAACTCCATCAACATTAATTTCATAGCTCTATAGTCTCTCTGTGCCGTATGTCATGTATGTACCTCTGTTTATTTTTATTTGAGCACATTTCAGACTAAATCAAACATCTGATAGTCCCCAAAGCTATGAAAGAGCAACCTGCCAGCAATAAAATATCCCTCGGGGTCGACTCCTATTCTGAGAGAAAGTGAGAAATTATGACTAATAAACATTTGAAAAGAATAGTTTTATTAAACGGTGAGCACATGCACTATGGATAAAATTGTTCGAAGCCACACACCCCTGCACTGCATAATGCTGCAAAAAGGATAAAATTGCATAGAGGAGTTAGCGGGGAGGTTCATTCACCAGCTTTTGTCCTGATTTCTGCCGACATTAACGGTTCGCACATCCACCAGAACAAATGGAACCAGCAAGTCACATGCAAGCCAACACAGAGACGCTATTGTGTGAAGCAGTTTGTGTCTGTTGATTTGTAAACGCTGGTGCTGTATGGTTCACATTTTCCTATTTACTCCTCGCTAGCAGGCAGAACTGTGACCAGAAGCCAAGTTATATTTTTTTCTCTACTGTCTTTCTCGCTCACACACTGATTTTAAAATGGTTTATGATCAGCCTAATTTAAAGTGACCACTCATTTGTTTCTTTGGCCCAATTAAAGCATGTCAAATAAATGCCCTTTATTTCGACGATGCAGCCACTGCGCTGACAGACTGCTTATCACCATGACCACTGTTCGTCTCGCTAGAGACCGCCTTACAGAGACTCTTTTGGCTCTAAATGTGTCTCCTTGCATAGATAGTTTTAGGAAAGAAAGAGAACTAAACTAAAAAGAACCATTAAATATTAAAATATCTGAGAAAATATCATCCAAAAATCATCCTAATAATAATTTGTATCTGAATAGCTGTACATTCTTCACACAAATCTCTTTAGCATCATTATCTTTTACCCAACTCTATTTGATTTAATGTTAAGATGCATGTCTGTTTGCTAATTGTGCGGCTCAATGGTTTTCCCCGCAGTCCTCAGTTGGAGAGCCACCGCTCACTTCAGTCACTTCAGTCTGCACTCGTAATCAAACGGGGTATTTGTTTATAAATCACACAGTATTTATGGGCACTTAAGAGGCCCGTTTTTAGGCCTAAATGCACTGAAGCTCCATGAATAGCCAGCAAACTGCAGTTTTAGCTGGCAGCTACAGCTCTCTGCTGTTTCAAGAGTCCTTGCAGGGGGGAAATGACAAAAACACTGGTCATCATGTCCATTTCTGTACAGTGGCTTCAGGTGACCACAGGAAGATCTGAAAACTATTCTGTTCAGAATCAACAGAATAATATTCAGAATCAGTTTCAAAAGCAGAAACAATATTGAGGGATACTGAATCAGAAGAGCTGGAATCGGAATTACACAATTCAAAATCAGCAGACTGAAATTTAGAATAAACAGATGGATGGATGGGTGGATGGATGTTCGGATGGATGGATGGATGGATGGATGGATGGATGTTCGGATGGATGGATGGATGGGTGGATGGATGTTCGGATGGATGGATGGATGGATGGATGGATGTTCGGATGGATGGATGGATGTTCGGATGGCTGTTCGGATGGATGGATGGATGGATGGATGGATGGATGGATGTTCGGATGGATGGATGGATGGGTGGATGGATGTTCGGATGGATGGATGGATGGATGGATGGATGTTCGGATGGATGGATGGATGGATGGTTGGATGGATGGATGGATGGATGGATGGATGGATGTTTGGATGGATGTTCGGATGGATGGATGGATGTTCGGATGGATGGATGGATGTTCGGATGGCTGTTCGGATGGATGGATGGATGGATGGATGGATGTTCGGATGGATGGATGGAAGAATAAATCATCACATAAATTAAAAATCCAGAGGATCAGAATCAGTATACATAGATTTAAACGTTTAGATTTAAATCAGTCAAAATAAATGCTTTAAGTAGATTCAGAATCAGAATCGGAATCAATATCAGTAGAATCAGAATCAAAAGAGTTGTAATCAGAAACAAAAACAAAAAAAAATCAGTAGTCTGAGAATCAGAAGAATCTGAATCAGAATAGTAGATTCAAAATTTGGAATCAGTAGATAAAAAATTTAATTAGTAGTAGATTTAGAATTAGGAAAAAAAATGAAGCAATCACTCCTTTTAAAATCAGTAAATTAAGTAAGCAGAAGAATCAGGACACATAGATTAGAAGATTTGTTCATGATAAATACTCTAAGTTGATGCAGAATCAGCTATTTTAAACTCGGAATCAATATCAGTAAATTCTAAATCAGAAGAATTGTAATCAGAAACATACACAATTCAATATCAGTAGACTGAGAATCAGAAGAATCTGAATGAGAAAAGTAGATTAAAAATAAACTAGTAGTAGATTTAGAACCAGAAAAAAAACATTACTTTTAAAAGCACTATATTGAGATTTTTAATAATCATAATACGTCAAAAACAGAAAATAAATAAATAAATAATTCCTTAGAAACAGATTCAGATCGAATTCTACCTTGTTGCTATACTTGTATACACACAAATGTGTTCATTAATCATTTAATCATTTCCTGTGTACTAATAATTAGCATACTAAGTCAAACATATATAAGTGAAGACTGTACAAACTGCTGCAAAGAGTTGCACTTTAGTTGAAATTGCTGGAACTCAATACCCACTTAACAGTCTAAACCATCACTCATTTTTATTCCTAAGAGTCCAGCATATGCCTCACATCCATGACTGTCATCTTTATACTTTTAGAGAAAAGCATAAACAAAACTGAAATGAAAAAAGACTGAAACGGGACAGTAAAATAAAGTTTCATGTGACCTTCACTGAAAAACAGCTCCAGGCTGAGGCAATGAGATTGCAGGTTTTTAGAAGCATCCACAGGCTTGTTATCTTAAGTGCACAAATTGTTCAAGGGCTGTTTTTGTGCTACAGGCCCAGTTCAGTTCTGCTCTATCACAAATTTGCAATACAATACTTCAATTTCCTTCCTTAGTTGTTGCTTCTGTATATGGACATAAGAAGATAAGAATGGACGTGTCCTGCCAGAAACAGACACTGTTTGTCTGCACTGTTTTGAAATGCTAATGATGATGGTTACAAATAAACTGCTGACAAATATGGGATGACGGATCAGTGTCATGTTTTGGTGAGAGACGTTTGTGACAAGAAACCAGAAATGCTGAAATTTAAATAAAGGCTAGGCTAAAATGTTGGGCGACAGCCAATCCCTGTGAGGTGACATCCATCATTAACAAGTCAAAGTTTCTGGTGGATTCAGAATTATAATCATGTTGTTACATATGACTATTTATTTCAAATTTTAAAAAGCAGTTTGGATGCTGTTATACCCTACACAGTAAACCCTAAAATGTTAACACAACTTTAAGGTAATTATACAGATCATAACAGTATAATCTAAAAGTTTTGTAGCAATTCCTCGACTTAACCACAGGCTCTACTCTTCAAAACTGCAACATAACAGGAATCCTTATGAATCTCAACATAACAGAACATTAAACACCAATACAACTCTCCCTATATTAATATTGTGCAAAGACACACTAAATAACACTTCAATTTCAACATTTATTCTCCTTATACAGTAGGGCTGTCACTATTTTCATTTTATTATTATTATTTTTATTTATTGTTTTATCAACATTGCGATTTTGACTTGAATCACGGTTTTGACACTTTACTAATCACATTTTGCATTCCTAAATGCATTTTGATGTTTCAATTGAAACATATTTCAAAAAGAAACCTAGTAGAGTTTTATCAAAAAGCTGTAAAAAAATGTCTCTAGAATAGACATAAGGCAAAATAATAAGTAAAAATGTCAAATCATGTCTCTAGAACAGACATAAGGCAAAACAAATACGAATGTTGGTAATAAAACCATAAAAACAAACATGCATAAAAACACCTTTTACAAACCAATTGCAAATGTTTTACTAAGTGTCATCTATTAAATGCCATTTTAAAAATCATCAAATGTCATTAAATATGAAGTGTGTAATATGTGTTCTTTTTTTGTTTGTTTTGTGGAGGCTTTTTGTTGAGGTTAATCAGGCCAATAAGAGACTATTAACATTTTTATTAAACAAATGTGTCATTAAAATGTCTACAAATGTATAAAACTGATCTGAGATCAGGTAAAACATTTTTTTAAAAACCCCGCATAGACACTGGTTCACAAACTCACTATGATCGCCCCCCCCCCCCTAGTGGCGAACCACTGAAATTAAATTTTTTTTGAAAATGTTATGATATAACGAAGCCCCGCTTACTGAATTCCCATGACTTTTGTGGATTGATACACGCTCCGAATCACTGATTTGAAACAAATTATTTGCAAATGTTTCAAAGCTTCACGAAGCAGCGTTTCAAAAGCGTCCATCACTAGAACATTTCACCTTTGTCCGGTTATGAGCAATAAAAATCTCTTTAAAAGTTACATAATCTCTGAACCACCTCACGCAAGTGCTCGTCAACATGGGCGTCTATTATTGATGCCGTCTTCAGTAGTTTATTTTTTCATTTGTAAACCAATGGCCTGAGTCACTGTTGCCACCTTGTGGACAAACTGATTAGTAAGATACAAACAAAAGACGAAGTCACAACAAACAAATCCTCTAATGCACGCTGCAGGGTCAACCATTCATTATCAGAGTGAACGGGAAGA